CATGGTTTCTCAAGGAAAAACTTCTCTCAAGTACATTTAAGAAAAATATAAAAATACACCACCTTCATTTTCTACTTGTAATGTTGAGCATTAGACTTTCAGTTGTGACAAGACTCCAAAAACTATAAGAACCCAAAATTGCAGTATTTTCATTTCTTTATAAACCCCAAATCCGGCCAAAATACAAAAACCCCACAAGAAAATAAGACAGTGATCAGTAAATAAACCATAAAAAGTAGAAAGTCGAAGCCAAGAAAACCAGATGAACAATTATACTATAAAAACACAATAAAACCATTTTCCATTTTTTGAAACAAGTTAAAGGCAAAAACGGCAAACCTTTTTTCCCAGGCATTTGCTTGCCATCCTTAACATAGAACTCACGAATGTCGACCATAATCTTTCCATTCCAGTTCCTCACAGTTACCCTCCTATTCTTGGAGATCTGCAATTCCCCAAAAACCCTAAAATCAGTTCCTCACATATACGTGCAGACAAAACAAGAAGAGAAGAAGAAGAAGAAGAAGAAGAAAGAGAGAAATGGTGACCTCGCAGGCAATGATTTCGTCAGAGTTGTCATCGGTGGGGTCTCTCTTGCAGGTCTTCTTGGGGGGCGCGTGGCCCTCAGAGTCACCGTCCGACACGTGATCCTCCTCGTCCTTTCTCTTTCCTCTCCACGACATTGTCTTCGTTTTCTTCTGTGGCTTTGCTTCGGGTTTTCTCTACTCTATTCCTCTATTAAGACAGAGAGTGAAGAGAGCGCAGAGGCCAAGGACTTGGAATCTCGGTGCTGCTGTGACTGAGAGAGTGAAGAGAGACAAAAATCTAGAGTGTGCTCTATAAATAAGTAATCACTAAAATTATAATTTTTTTATCAATTAATTAATTTTATTAAAACAGCTTACAACGTGATGAGTCTTCGCATTTGTTATTGTTTGATGAAAACTTTGAGGAAAAATGTCATCGTATTCATCCATAGGGAATTTGCAATTTAAAAAATTATCTCATTTTTGTATCATAAATTTTTAATTCATTTTCATTTTTGGCTAATTCTTCCAAATGAATATGAACAATTCATTTGATAAATCTTTAGATAAATTTCAAGTGAACCATTCTTTTTTTTTTTTTAAGAAAATAATTATTCAAATACCCTTTTACAATTTATACAATAAAAAAGGACAACGCTTAATATATAATTTCGTGTTTAAAAGAGGTAATCCAGAACTCACATTCTCCCTACAAAACAAATTAAGACCCAAAAAAAATAATCAAAATAAAATCCCAATATCCCAAAAGAAAATGAGTCCTTTTCTCAAATTGATTTGATTAATGAGGCAAATTATGGGCTATTGGAAGGATTAAAAACAACATATTTGTTAGCATATACGATCTATGAGAGTATTTTTGCTCACCACATTAACTAGAGATGTATGCTCACTATAACCTTCAAAGAGTGACACGTGTCCCGTTAATAACCTTAGTTAATTTTTATATGGGAATCTAAAAAAATAAATAAATAGGGGGCCCACAGTCTTCTCTTCTCTCCCCTATTTCCTCCTTTTACCCCTTTCTTTTCTTTCTTTCCTTCCCGACCCCTGACACTTCTCTCTCTTCTCTTCTCTCACCTCCCACACCAATATGCTCGTCAAATTCATTGAAGAAATCTGTTTCATTTACTTACTTGTGACTATATTCATCATCTGGGTTTTTGTTGCATTTTTGTTATGAATGATTTGTGGGCTTTCTCAAATCTGCATTTTGTACGGGTTCTTTGAATTTATTTTTGAGAGGGGCCTAATGTCCTTGCCTCGAATTCCAAGAAAAGTTGTTGTGCATATATTTGAAATAAATCATCAAGTGTTTCATGTTTACTTGGTGATTTATCAAACACTTTAATCATTCATATTGCATTTATTTATATTGTTCGGTGACTCATATGGTTGAGGGCACCAAGACTGTGGTGGTGGTTTTCCTTCGGCGAGGTTGAAGTAATCGTGATCAATACTGCATTCAACATAAGAAGTGTCGAAGATCATCCCGTGACTGTTTGGGCCAAAAGAAATCTCACGACCGGCCCACTTCTCAGAAAGGACCATGAAACAAAAAGAATAAAAGAGATGGGCTTTGAATTATCAGATCAGGAGTGAACACCCACGTCTTTTCAGAAGTGGCAGAAATGTAAAAAATGCCAAAATAAATGGAAATTACATTTTAGGCAAATCAAAGAATTAGATTGGGCCAAAATCTACTAACATCTCTCTCAAAGGCCCAGGAGCAAATCAACAGATCTTTTTGAAGGAACTATTCTCAAGGGAGTCCACGAGAAGCCCACGTGACTATCTAAAAACTTTGAAAGTCAACAACATCAACTGAAAGAGATAAGAGAGCTAAAATTGGGACAGGTACAGAAAGATGACATCTCTGAAAACTCTGCTAAAACAGAAGATCAATTTTATATATATATATATATATATATATTCAAAGATATTTCTTCTACTCCAAAAAGGGTGATTCTCCCAAAAAGATAAGCAGGCTATGTTCTCAAAACAGAGATAAGCAGGAGAACAGGGAGTTGTTCAAAACTGGAAAATCAAACTAACCATCACAATATGAGCTCTCACAAGGGGCAGTTGGGATTAGAAAGGGGTTAGGTTCTCTTTCAAAATACAGGGAAGTGATTGCCATAGGAGCTTACCGTTGAAAGCCTATCTGCCAGAACTGATAAAATTCATTTTTCTTTGTATTTGAAATTAAGAGATCTTTTGACAAATTTTGCCGCCCATTATTAAAAGAATTACCCTATTCCTAAGCATTTCTTATAAATAAAAGAGGGAGTGAACAGGGCAAAAGGACAAAAAAATCATCAATCAATGAAACAATCAAAAATCAATCAAAGGCAAAAACTCAAAATGATCACTTAATCACTGAGAACCTTCAAAGCAAATTGAAGCAACCAAAGGCTCATTTGAGCCACAAAAGAAGCCAGCTATAGATCAAGAAACTTCTAGGTTAGAGAAATAAGTCATTCAAAACGAGACTTCTCTCATTACAAATTTGGTTCAACAAAAGCTAAAACAAGCAGAGTTCGAGTTTTCACAAATATGAAAGCTTCAACAAATTTATGGAAAGCCCTGACCAAACAGAACAGGTACCATAGTGCAGTTCCGGCTCAGTAACCCTCAAGTCCAACCACTTCTACCCCTTTCAGACCAAAGAATTTGCAGTTCTGCCCTTTCAAAAAGCCTTCCAGGGCTCGAAATAGATTGAAGCTCTGCCAAAATCAAACTTTGGTATCGATTTACAGCTGAAGCTTAGCAGTTGAAGCTACTGGCAGTTCAGTCCAGCACAGACATACCTAGTCTAGCCCGGATAAGAAGCTTCTGCCCAGGCAGAAATGGAATTTCAGCCACCTTTTTGTCTTTCTAGAGTTGATTTTTCCTTCTCTAGTTTTGTAAAAGGCAGTTCTGCCTGAAACAGTCCATTTTATTATCATTTATTCTTGCCATAACTACCAATCTTGTACTAAGATAATTGTGAAGTTCTCACCAGTCTGAGGCAGGAAAAGAACTTACTTGGGAGATATTGCTCACCCAAATTCACAATTGTTTGTTTAAGAAATCAGTAACTTGGGGTGCAAGTTATCTATTTTAAGAAGTCTGCTAGAATTGTTATTTCTAGCAATGGTACGCTCGCACACTAAAGAAAGTTGACTTGTTGACCAGTTAATGGTTTTCAAGGCAATGGGGAACTTTACCCTACCATCACATGAACAAAAACAAAACGGGTGAACACTGACAGAAGTTGAGTTACTAAGAAGTATTTTTAGTCCTCCTACAAGTAATTTCAATTAGCATCAGAGCAGGTTGCTGAACATACTCAACAAGATCTGACATACCGTAGGATGGATAGTGTCACGGGCTCAATTGTACAACCACCACATTTCAATAGCAACAACTATGACGCTTGGAAAGCTAAAATGAAGTCATTCTTTTGGTCTCTAGATGAATGTGTATGGAATACAGTGGTTCATGGATTTTCTGAACTTATAAAGAAAATTGGAAAAGGAGAAGAAGAAAGCGCAGTCCTCAAAACTAAAGAGGAATGGACCAATGCAGAAGTCACACATAATACTAATAACCAAAAGGGGTTAAATGCTTTATTTATTGCTGTCTCTTCTAATCAATTTGAATATATCTCTGGTTGTGATACTTCTAAGGAAGCTTAGGATATTTTGCAGCTAAATCATGAAGAAATAGATACTGTAAAGGGCCCTAAGCTCCAAATGCACACTTTACAGTTTGAGACACTCATGATGGATGAGAATGGAATTTTTTCTGAATTTTATGCTAAACTTTGTGTCATTGTGAATGCATGTTCAAGTTTAGGTGAAAAACTTCCAGAAGATAGGGTTGTGAAAAAGATTTTGAGATCCTTGCCTCAATGGTTTCAACCAAAGATCATGGCTATTGAAGAGATTTGTGACTTGAAAACCTTAAAAGTTCAAGAACTCATAGGGTCCATACAAACTTATGAGATAAAACATCTAGCTCCTAAAAAGAGCAAAAATGTTGCTTTCAAAGTTGTGAATGAAGAAGATGATGGGCATTCAAATGAGGATTGCAGTGATGAGGAATTAACGATTCTCACAAGACGATTCATGAACTTTCTCAAGAATTAGGATCCAATGAGTTGAGATTCAAAAGGTATAAATTCTAAAAAATAGGTTTGTTGACTATACTGATGGTGTGTCTAAATCTCACAGGTCAAATGAATGAAAGAATCTAAGAGAAAAGGTCTAATGTTTCTAATGAGAAGGCTATGGACACATATCTTCGGAATGTGCTAACACCTTAAAGAAACAAAAGGATGTGAAAAATAAGGCACTGCATACTACTTAGAGTGACAGTGATTCTAACTTTGAAAATAATGAGAAGGTCATTGCACTTATCACGACAATAAGCTTGGATGAACCAACGAAGAAGGATGATGATTGTGAAGATATGAATTTTGAGTTTATCATGAACAAATATGATGATTTGTTGGCTTCTTCTTAGAAACTCAGCAAACAAAATGAAGAGCTCGTAAAATCCATTGCCATGCTAAAGTTGGAAAATTGCAAGATTGCAAACTAGTTTCAATCTCCTGACGCAGATTCCAAAAAGGTAAGTGCAAGTATGAACCAAAAATTGATGTTTTTTGCTGAAAAAATTGACTGATCAGAATAATTTAATTGCATCTCTAACTTCTAACAACAAGCCCTTGAACTTGAACTTAAAAATTCAAAGGAAATAATTGTTTCTTTAACCATTGGTGTAGAAAAAATTGACAAGATGATTAGTATGGGAAGAAGAGATGGTGACAAATGAGGGTTGTGATTTGAACCAAGTAATAAGTCTTACGATGTGTCTAAAACAAAGTTTGTCAAATCCTCTTCACCTATTGAACCTTCTACCGCTCATGAAGTCAAGAAATTCATTCCAATTTGTCACTTTTGCAGAACTCGTCGCCACATAAGACCAAGATGCAATAAGCTTCGAAACGAATTTGTTCGTTCAAATTCTCACATCATGGGTGGAAAAGTGAGTATCCAACATAAGATTTCAAATCTTATGAAAGAGGTAAAACGCTTATCCAAACTATCTTCTTTTCATTGTTTGCCATCAACTAAGACAAAGTTAGTTTGGAGGAAAAAGGAAAGTCATAATTGTATGTTCGCCTCCACTAATGTTGTGCATGAACCCATTGCTTTAGAAAATTTGAATCTTAAATGTCTTGTTGCAAAACCTTTGGATAATCTTCGATTTGACACTCTTAGAAAGTCTTTAGGT